AACTTTCTCAGCCTGTCTTCATACGGGAGGTGCTCCAGCCCCCTCATCATCCTTGTGGCCTCTTCTGGACTTGCTCCAACAGCTCCAAGTCCTTCTTATGTTGAGGACACCAGAACTGTACGCTTATTCATTCTCCTGTTTTCAATACCAGACAAATGTCCAAAACTACTTTTACTTCTACTCAACCCACAGTTGAACACTTCTCTCTTTTCAGTATTGCTCTTTAATCATATTGGAGATCCCAATTTATGTAAATTAAAGACAGCATGATACCCACCCTGATCCACCTGAACTTTGGAAGAGGCCCAGCACATGTGTGAAGAAAAAAACCCGTTAGACTTACGAGTAAGAAAGCTCAGTTATTCTCCTCTTTTCAGTGGGAACGACCTAGAACCACATCAAAATAGCTAGTTTCACACATAAGCCTTACTTCTTTTGACCCTCCACTACATGATGGTTGTCCTTGCCCAACAGTGCATGGATAACTGCACTACCTGTCCAAAAATACCTAATATAGACCTGCTTCAATGCTATTCATAGAGGATGTTTCCAAGAGCTGATCATACACCTGAATCAAGTGTCTTGTACCCCTCTCGACAAGAGGAGACTAATGAGTTCTAACATAAGAAATTCCTTCAGTGCTTACAGTTAGGGCATTGCCATCCTTTAACTTCCTAGGTTCAGAAAGGAACGATCCCTTGAGCAGGACAGCTGCTTGCTCTGAGTAGGCAACATCCATGTTGAACAGCTCCTCTTTTCCAGGGTTTCGAACTGTGCAGGAGTAATCCTGGGCTTCTGCTACAGAGGAGAAATTGTCTTGAATTTCAGAAAGCCAGAAGGGTGAAGCTTACAAAACAAGTGTGCTAAAAAAACCTTGAGAGAGATTTGGGTGCCACTGCTTTTAAAAAATCCTATACACTAACATTTGAAAACAGTGTTCTCATCACACAGTCCTGAGATTGCTCAGTAGAGGAAGGTTCACTTAAAGCCATACCATTACGGCTACAATTGCCCTACAATCACCAGATCACTGGTAAGACATAAGCACAGCCTTAAATTAAAGGACATCCTATAGCTAACTTCTCTTCACACACCTGTGTATGGTGTCTAGAGGATTTCACCACATGATCTTTGCTAGACTGACACTATTTGCATCTTGAGTTGCTTTCTTGAAGAGTTATAGTTATCAGTTTGAGCAGCAATTCCTAACACCACCAGAGCCTGCAAAAGTTTGTGAAATCCACAACTGTGGATAACTGTGTATGCAAAAATAAAATAATTTTTTAAAAAAAAATCACAAAAAAAAAAAAGCCACCAAAAAAACCCAGAAACCCCAAAACCACAAACAGAGCCAATGTTTTAGAGCCCAAATTAGTTTAATGTCCCTTCGGGTTCCACCCCCACTTCAGTTCCTACACCTGTTCACTCCTATTCCACATTTAAAAGCTTCCTTCTTACTTCTGTGTATATTTGAAGTCTGTCGATTGTGCCACAGCTGATCTGGGCTGGACTCCTTTTTCTCTGCTGCTGTCACCTGAAAAATAACCAGAACACATTTACCTACAAAAAAAAAGAAGTTACTACAAGACCACCTGGTTTTGGCAGAAAACCTGACATTGTCTGTTGGTCTAAGAAAACGCTGCTCAAGCTCATGGGTACAAAACTGTTCTGAAATTAAGAATCATAATTAGAGGATTTGGCAGTGTTTGTGGTAAATTTGCACATCATTAAGCCAGTTCTTCCTTTCACACAAACATTAGCCAATTTCCTCCTACTAGTTCACTCACTGAGGGGCTAACAAACAGCGAACCAACCAAGCAACACAGGATCCACCCACTGCCTGCAATCACAGGATCTTTCACCAGGAAGAACACATAAAGTAGACATCAGCACCTAAAAGCTTCCCTTCATTGGTTTCATAGTAACCTATCTCTTCACATCTAGAGAGAGAAGTGAATCTTTAAAAGTGTAAGGAAGCATTTGATGGGCAATTCTGTTAATAAAAACCTTACTAGAACTTACTAGAACTAGTTAGAATATAGGAAAGCTTGTTTTATTGCCAAAACTTAGCAATTTTCCCAGAACCTGCATAGGACATGGAATTGCGGACTGAGGAGAGAAGGCTCCTGAAGGGGACACCTTAGAGCAGCTCCAGTGCCTAAAGGGGCTCCAGGAAACCTGGAGAGGGGCTTTGGACAAGGGATGTAGGGACAGGACAAGGGGAATGGCTTGAACCTGCCAGAGGGGAGATTGAGATGAGCTCTTGGGCAGAAGCTCTTCCCTGTGAGGGTGCTGAGGCGCTGGCACAGGGTGCCCAGAGAAGCTGTGGCTGCCCCATCCCTGGCAGTGTTCAAGGCCACGTTGGACACAGGGGCTTGGAGCAACCTGCTCTAGCGGAAGGTGTCCCTGCCCGTGGCAGGGGTTGGAGCTGGATGAGCTTTAAGGTCCCTTCAACCCAAACCAGTCTGGGATTCTGTGATGACAAAGTTAAAAGGAACCTGTGCAAAGTCAGTGCAAATAGGCAAAACAGTTAATCTGCACAGATGTGTATCTTTAGGGTGGGTGCACAACTGAGGGGCTTGCTAGAAAAAGCAGAATCAGTTCATTTAGTGTCTGCAGCTAAAGTACAGATCATGCAATGATAATGCCAGAGCACCTTCATATCCAGCTGCTGTGTAAACAGGCCACAGTGAAGAGTAATACAGGGGAAATATGTAGAAAAGTTCTGATGGAAATACCAACAGCTTTGGTGCCCAAGCAGCTCATGACAGAGGTGGGCAAAAGGCAAACTGCAAATCCATCTTAAAACACTGATGGAAATAAAAACCCAAATGACTGACACATCACTGTCTGCATTGTTACAGCAATAGGGATTTATCATGTTTCTCTACCTACTTCAAACAAGTGTATAGCAACACCAGGCATGTCTGAACATGTCCCTCAGAGCCCCAAAAATTGTGCTTGGAACTGGAATGACACAGCAAACCAGTATGGAAAATTAAGCAAAAAAGCCTGCTTCCCTCTGGGATTGCTCCAGGAATTACTCAATGGTAAAGGACTTCTGCTTAGAGCTTACATCAGTGTCATACCCTAACATCTCAAAAACTTACTGTTTGAAATAAAAATCATTCATTTGCCTAAGCTGAGCCTCTGCCACTTCCCATGAAAGAAAGAGGGCAAACACCACCTGTTGGTGGTTTTACAAGGAATACTGAGGTTAAGATGCTGGCCACTCAGTGAAGAAGAATCAAACAGTCATATAGACTCATATAAAATACATTTTCTTACTATCTCTAATTAAAAAGGGGGTGAACCCCACTGGTTTTTGTTTCAGCAACATCCACTAAAAACTGCAGATCTCAGAGGCAACTGCAAAGCTTTAAAAAAAATCATCAAACCTTTAAAAAGGTTGAGCAAAAGAAAATAGGAATAATTCCAGCAGATTTAGTGGAAAAAAGGAGTCCAGTGATCTTGCCCAAGTAATAAGTGAGATAAAATTAATGCTTCACTATTAATCAAACTGAAGCTATTTTAAAAGACAATTTTAGCATCTTGGTATATGCTTTCATTACACCAAAATGTCATTTTAAAAGATCAAATTGGATTTCAGTTGCCTATCAAATGCAAATATTCATGACCTAGTGTGTGGACACGTAAGATTAAGAGCTCAAAAATCTCCATTCCTATACAATAGAAAGTAAAATTTTTTAAGAGCTATAACAGGCTTCTATTTAATGTGCAAGCTTTAAAACTTGTTGAATTTCAACTGAGGCACTTAAGATAACCTTGCAGCATTATTGCTTCTAGAAATGTCACCTTTTTGTCACCCATTCAATGAGGAATGCAAGTACTGCTCTGCAAAAGAGAACCAACCATGACTCTGCCTCAGTGCAACTCACAGTAAGGAAGTAATCTGCACCTCAGCACTAGGCAGTTACAAAGACCACAACCACAGCAGTTTCCAGTGATGATGTGGACTGTTAGTGTCATTCCCTTAAGGCATTCAAGGGATTATTGGGGTATAATTAACCTCACTATAGTAAAAGAAGTTTCAAGGAGGCTCAGGCTGAGGAAGAGGAGTATTGAGTTCTGGCAGACAGCAAGGGTCCCATGCTACTCAAAAAGGCAGACCTTGGTTAAGCTCAGTACCTTCTGACTAGACACCTGAGCAGAGAGACTCACAAGAAGCCATGAATAGGTTACTCTCCAGTGGCCCCTAGAAGAAATAAAGGTACTGTACCTGTGGCCACAACCAAAAGAGGACCAGCAGAGCAGAAAAGCAGCTGAAAAGCTAATGGTTATGTACTGGCTAGCAAAACCAAGAAAAAGGCAGTGGATAGTCTTTCTTCAGGATTACCAGCTGCCCAGGGTCATCTTGTCAGAAAGCAACTCAGGAAGTTCTCTTTTTCTGGCTAATAATAATTTAACGTGTCACTGGAATAAAGAAAACACAAGAGGGCTCCAAACAATACCAGTGTTCCACAAGGCTGCAGGGCTGTAGGCACTACATAAAGTCTTCAGGCAGTCTCTAGGAAGCTTATGGAGATTTTGTAGCAACTTCTCAACACTGCACCCTGGATGCAGAAGTTCTACCATCTCAGCTTCATTTCAGCTCATGAGATGAATTTGATCTATTTGGAAATGACAGTAGCCCTAGACCCAGAAAGCCAACTTAGCTACTGCGATGCAACGAAAGCTTTCAGGAGATCCCTCTAAACCAGTGTACCTCCGAGCTGACCACTCCAAAAATGTCTCTGACATCACGAACAGGATGCTTGTTCCTCCTGCGAGACCGGGAATAGGTGTCCAACCGCCGCTGCACAGCAGCAGCCTGAGTCTTGGTCAAGGTGGAGAGCAGCACGATGTTGTCATTCTCAGAGGCACGGTCCCCGAGGAGGTCTGACAGCCCTGCGTCCTGGAGCCACTCAGCTTCAGCCTCGCCCTCTGCGACGCAAGTGGTGAGAAGGGTGAGTGAGATGGGGAAGGATAACAGAAATTGAATGCTTGCAACACTTCAGAGGCAGAAAACCAGAAGCCTGAGCCATCCCCAATCTGGGGTGGCCGTGGGACATCACTGGAAGGGAAGCCACATCTTTGTTAGGAAGCCACTGCTATTCTCACAGCCTTAGCCCTGTTCCCTGGTTCCCAGCTGGGTATCAGGTGAAACTGGAGGAGACACAGCACTCTAGGCAGCTATAACTGCCCACATACACCCTTCTCCTCACCCAAAGCGAGGAAAGAGAAGAAAAAGTAGAGATATTGCTGGAATGCAGGCTCCCTCAGAAGCTGGGCAGAACAGGGGGCACAAATGTGACTCTGTGTGGTATTTAGCACAGGAATTGAACCCAGGGGGGCTTTTATAGGATACAGTAGGAAAGCCAGATCAACTTGCTTAAATCTGCCTTTACAAAGGGTATCTCTGGAAGCAGGCTACAGCACTCAGCGCACTCGGAATGAATAGCAGTGCCTCCCTGGAGCACCCCAGGTTCTTTGACAGCTTTGGGAATGGACAAAAAAGATTTATGAGAAGCCACAACATCTGCACATTTGGCTATAGGACTCTTCCCAATTATCTGGCTATTTATTTTACTTTCTATTTATCTACATGCAGGCCTGTGCGCTTCAAATGTTTTCATTTTTCTTTTTTTTTAATATCCAGACACTGCTCTGGTAGATTCACAATACATTTGCATAACTATTTGCCTGCACCATTCTCTACCATTTTAGGTGGACTGGTACCTGTACAGTCATCCAGCAAAAGCAAAAATTATGTTCTCACTCTGTGCACTTGCTTTATGTCTGTGCCTATTCAAAACATCACTAAAATTAAAGACTATTTCAGCTCCAGAATGAAGTGTGAGAAGCATGGAGATAGTACAGCAGCATTACTCAAACAAGCTCAATTCCCCTTCATGCTTCAATATATATTATGATGCACTTCAAACACAGAAGACAATTTTTTCCTTATAGGCTGCACCCTCTGTGCAGCTGAGAAAATGCCCTGAGGAAGGTTGTAGCTACTTGAAATCCAAGAATAAAAGAAGCAATTTAGCAGGTGGCTTCAACTTTGATACGGTGAACACCACAAAGCCTTTAGCTTTTCAACTCTATGTCCCACATTCATTCACTGCAGGCAGCTCCAACACAGCTCTACCAAAGGTTACACTGGGAAAAAGAAAAATCACAACCGGACTGAAACAGAGCTGTTCATTCCCACTTTGCTTTTCCTATGCAAACTGGTATCTTAGTTATCGCAGCTGCTCAGGCAACGTTTTATTGTTGCTGAATCTAAATAAAAAAGCCATTTAATCTCTTCTTAGAATCCTAGAATGGTTTGGGTTGGAAGGGATCTTAAAGCTGATCCCAGCCACAGGCAGGGGAACCTTCCACTAGAGCAGGTTGTTCTGTGCCAACCCTGCCTTTGACCCCTGCCGGGGATGGGCCAGCCACAGCTTCTCTGGGCACCCTGTGCCAGCGCCTCAGCACCCTCACAGGGAAGAGCTTCTGCCCATGAGCTCATCTCAATCTCCCCTCTGGCAGGTTCAAGCCATTCCCCTTGGCCTGTCCCTACAGGCCCTTGTCCAAAGCCCCATTCAGATTCTTTTCTCTGTGGAAACTTCCATACTCATGCAACTTGCAAAAACACATTGCGACTCCATTAAAACTCTTCCCAGCCTTCAGAGCATACTCTTTGTGATCTTTGATGCTGTACTTTTTTCAGCATTAAACCACAACAAATAGATCTGGACTTGAAGTCAAGTATTTCCTTTAACAAATCTAACAAACTGGATGAAGTTTTGGGCTTTTTCCATGTCTGGTTCTACAGAAGCTAATACACAGGGGAAAAATCCTTCCCTGTGAGGGTGCTGAGGCGCTGGCACAGGGTGCCCAGAGAAGCTGTGGCTGGCCCCCCCCCGGGCGGGGTC